GAGAGAGAGAGAGAGAGAGAGAGAGAGAGAGAGAGAGAGAGAGAAGGAATAATGGAAGGCAGGCTGGTGAGATGAAGAGGTATATTATGGACATTCAAAAGTATGAAGTAAACTGGGTGTGGTGGCACATGTCTGTAATCCCTGCACTCTGGGAGGCTGAGGATCATAAGTTCAAGCCCAGCCTGGGCAACTTAATGACTTAGAAAAACATGGTATCAAATTAAAAAATGAAGAAGAGGAAGAGGAAGAGGAAGGAGAATGAGAAGTAGGAGGAAGAGAAGAAGAAGAAGCATTAGGGATACAGCTCAGTGCAAAGGTCCTAGGATCACTGTGAACGACCAAGCACAAAACAAAACAGAAGGAGTAAAGTAAATTGATGGATTAGGACCTGGAAAGAAACAGAGAACCTCAGTGGAGAGGATTATCTTGGAACCGTGGGTGGGACCTGGACAATGGGGGGAAACGTTGTGGAGATTCGTGCTGCTGGCACTGAGCTCCATATAAGGAAGTAAGGAAAGGGCACTGCCCCGACAGTTAATGAGATCTGGAGCCACTTGTGACTTCCTGATATTGGAGAGAGCACTGGAGAGAGAGCAGAAAATGTGAAATTGTGCCAGGGTCAAAGCAGTGCTTGGCGCCCAACGCACCCCACATTTCTAGTGGGTGTAGCCAGCTTGTCCACAGAGGGCATGAAACCATGGTTCTTTTCGTGGCTTGGAATGGACGTCGATGAAGTGGATGGAACAAGAATCCGCACACACTGGAGCGTGGCAGGGCTTCCGGTGGGGGACATGGGCACGGACATCCCCTCGCAGCTGAGGAGTAGGATCTGCGGCAGCAATGGCACTATGGTGCAGGAGACACGCTGGGTGGCTGAGGCAGGAGAATCACAAGTGCAAGCCCAGCCTGGGCAACTTAGCAACTTAGCAACTTAGCAAGACTTTGTCTCAAAAATCAGTCAATCAATCAATCAATCAGTCAATCAATTGGAAAGGGCTGGGGATGGAGCTCAGTGTGAAGGCCCTGGGTTCAGTCCCCAGGACCATGAAAGGAAAGGAAAACAAAAAGCATTTATTAAAGGGTGAGCTTTTCATTTTTTTGTTGAAAAGTTGTGCTGACGGGAAAAACACACACATTGTGAGTCTTTAGATATGTTTTTCAAGGTACTTTATTTGTTTTTGTCAAAATTTCAATCCTAATTTGACTGGCCCAAGAAGTCAGCATGGGAGAGAGGGTTTGTGTGGTCAGTCAGGAAGGCAGAAGGCACAGCACCTGGGGAGGCTGCGTCAGGAGTTATTACCAGTGTGCTGGGTGGGTCATGGAGCCTGACCTTGGGGTCTGCATCTGGTCCCTCACCCCTTCTCTCTGGCACTGTTTCCCTGCTCTGCTTCCCAGCCACCAAGAACTGAGCAGCTTTGCTTCACCATGCCCTTCCACCATGTTCCCGCCTTGGCGCCAGCTGACCATGGACTGACACCTTGGAACCATGAGCCAAGTTACACCTCTCTTCCTTTATGCTGTGGGTGTTGGGTGTCGTGTCTCAGCGATGAGAAAGCTGACTAACACAGTAACTTTATACCCTTTTTTTCAACTTCCCTCCACTTCTTCCTCTTCCTTACATTTTCCAGCCTTTGGTAACCACTGTTCCAGACTTAACTTCTGTGAGATGAACTCTTTTAGCTTCCAAGTGTACGATCTTGCAGTGTTTGATTTTTGTGCTTGGCTTATTTCATTTAACATAGGGATCTCCACTCTCATCTGTGTTATCAATAATAGGGTTTCATCTTTTCCGTGGCTGAAGAACACCAGTGATGGAACAAGCCCTACATTTTGCCTAACCCATTCATCATAGTGGGTACCTAGGCTGATTCCACATCCTGGTCATTTTGAGCAGTGCTATAGTGAACAGTGGCACTGGTATCTCTTGACCTATTGATTTCGTGTCCTCTGGGTGCATACCTGGGAATGGAATTGCTGGGCCATGCAGTAGTTCTAGTTCTGTGTTTTTCAGGAACATGCACAGAGTTCCCATAATGACTGTACTAATGCACATCCCACCAACCGTGCGTAGGCCTCCTTTTTTCTCCACACCTTAACTGATACTTGTTATTTTTGCCTTATTGATAATTGCTGTTCTAACTGGAGTAAGGTGATAGCTCATTTTGATTGGTGTTCCTGATAATTAGTGATACTGAGCAAATATTTATATGCCTGTTG